GGCAAACTTACTGAGGCCTACTGCCGCCCAAGATCTATAAAATGATATCAAAGAAATAGAAAGACCTATAGAAGGGCCATATTTCTTCTTATGCAACATATATTAACATCAAAAGGGAGCCCCAAGAAAGGGACATTCAATTCTCCATTTTGTTACGTTGACAAACCTGGTCTGTGAGATAATCACTGGGTCTTTTTACAAGACAAGTCAGTTCACAACACCTGTCTGACAGGTGTTGTGAACTGACAGGAAAATAACCCCCTCCCTCTTAAAAATCATTTGAGGTTGATGTCACAGTGTACCCTTCATGAAGCCATCTTCACCAGATCAATCACTGCTGCAACAACCTGGTTATAATGTCAATGAGCTGCCTCATATACTTTACATACACTATGTGATGCATCTATTGAACTGACGCAAGTGTTGCTCAGCTGTCACAGCAATAAGTGAATGATCGTTTTACTAACACTTGCGTTATGCTATGGGGATGTTTTGTTACACTGGTGAAAGTTCTCCCATTTTAACATGGCAGTTACCTAAAGTTAATACCACCAGCATCAGTTTGACCTCTTTACTTGATTCAGTTATTAAATTAATCACTTTATTAATTAAGATATTTAACTCTTCTTGGAATTCAGGTGCCAAATTAAAACAGAATTTGGTAATTGCTAAGCAAAGAAAGAAAACAAACAGTTCTATTTTTGTCGGGGAAAAGGTGATGCCTGCTTACATGATGCAGTATTACAGTGTACATTTTCTCACCTTTCCTTGCAACCCACACACTTTACAAAACTGGTACACATCAAGAGCTAGACATATTCATAGTGGTAATATGATTTGATATCTCACAAAATGTGCTTCATTTATTCACATTTAAATCCACTTAAAATGCATTTTTAGATATGCCAACCTACAAGGCAAGATAAGAAAACACGTGAAAGCAGTGTTATGAGTACATACACGTTTTTTTTTATAATTTTGACATTACTGGGACGAGTGCTTTTTTACACCAACCTGTTCTCATAACAGATTTGTTTTCCTTTTTATGTTAATGTTTTCCTTCATCTTATATCATCTGTTTCTGCCTAAAGCTTGTGAAGCCCAGGGTACATATATTTTCTTTCTCTCCTTTTACTGTGTTACACATTCTGAGCACACCAAATGCCTCAAAAAAAAGAAAAAGTACCCTCATTTGACTTTTTTTTCTTCAAATGAACAAATCTGATTGAGCGAATGCCATTACCTGAGTAAATGAATGTTTCTGAAAGAACTGGACAAGGCCTAACACCGTCCTGAGGGTAAATCTCATTATCGCTGCAAAGTCCAAAGAAGTGAAAGGCGCAGCAGATGTGGAACACTTTTACAGAGGCCCGCATTTCCATTTTAATCTGCCACATTTCAGTATCTGAGACAAAGGGGCCACCTGTCAAGCTTTTCATGAGAACACAGCTTTTAGCCTTCCTCTCATGTATAAATATGTTTAATTCTGATAAAATTAATTGAAACACCTAAGTAAACAATAGTGGGGAAGGATTGGAGAAAAAAAAGGCGGGAGGGAGAGATATTATGTTGACAAAGCCAAGATTTTGAAAACCGGCTGTCCAGAATAAATGCCAAGGATTCTTTCTTCAGTTCAAAGTGCCTTGAATTTTGAAATGGGTCTACATAAACAATCCCCCCATAATAGCTGAGTGAATAAGTTTCTGCACATATGCCACTGAGCCTTTGACACCGAAGCTTCACCCCAATTTCCAGTGCTGTGGAGGAGATCAGATGGCCCTCTGTCATTTGATTTTCTGCCTACCTCATCTGCGCCCATCTTTTTGTGTCTTGCTGGGTTACATTTTAAGAGGCTCACGCTTCTCTTAAGGACAAATAGCAGAATAATAAAGAAACAAATAAAAAGAATCAAACGTTAGATGGGTCACTTTCAAATTTGATTGAACCCAAGGAGAGATGTAGGAGTCTGAACTGGGTGCTTCTGTGTATTTTGAGCAATCTGGGATGCAAATCCTTAGGAGAGAATATGCTGATTGCAACAGTCTGTAAAAATCTCAGCTACTATTTATGATCACTGCCCCAGTGTGGATGACATTAGGGATCCAGTAAAGTAGAACACAATTTATATTTTGTGTACACCCCAGCCTTTGACTGGTCTGGAACAACTTCTCAAGCGTGGCCAATAAAATGTCTTCTTAATAGCTGTTTCCTGCAAAGTATTCAAAGCTCAAAGCAAGAGATGAGGGGAAGATGGCAAAAGAAAGAGGGGAGGTGTGGGAGAGTTGAGGTGAGGGATCCAGAGACAGATGAAACAAGCGGGAGAGGAGAGAGAACAGAAGAGAAGTCAGTGCAGAGACATTCCCTGGTGCACAGCCTGAGCTGACTGACGAGGAGGAGAGAGGGGCTGTGGAGGGGGAAGAGAGAGGCATGGAGATCACCAAGGAGAGAGCGCATCAGTGTATGAGTGGCGTCTCTCATTAGAAGGTGCTGTCAGGGGCCACAAAGCGGGGGCCATAGGGACCCCACCTCTCCTTTCTCCTCCCTTCCCACTGGCCCCTGAGATCCTGCAAGAAAAAAATGATTGATGAGTGATTCTAAGATAAACACACGCCACAGCCCCCAAAGGCAGCCCTGCAAAATGATGCATGCAGGGTTATAAATAAACACTGTAAAAAAGCAAATGTTACAATAAACAGCCATACAATGCATAACAACATTTTCCCCCCTAAATGTTGTTTATTGTTACAGAATACATAAAACAGTCATGTTTTTTTTGTACTTTGATATGAGAATTTCAAATTGTCTTACCGTACTTTCTAGTTGTAGTAGCCATACATGCGTGTTGGCGGTTGGGGGAGGGCTTGTATACGTGTACATTGTATTTGCGTGGGAGCAATGAGTGAAAGGCTAACAAGGCTCACAGGCCTCCTGAATGCTTAAGCCTCCCTTGGTTGCCCTCCTTTATCTGCAGCTCTGGCAGGTGTCCATCCCTCTTGCTCATTTTGCAGAAACAATAATAATATTTTTTGTTTTGTTATCTGACCAGTCTGCAAATTTTGTATATTGTTGTAAAGTGAATCTTCATTTGCAAATATTGTTTTGTACAAATGTTTTCTTGTTTTTTGGAGAAAATCATTGATGACTGTAAAAGTGAAAACATTTTTCGACATACTTTTGAACTGAAAAATCACAACCCAGCCCCTAAAAAACAAATTAGATACTGTATTTAAGAATCTTTTTTTATGCTTAACTTTTATAAAAAGAAACATATATTAATATTTTTATTGTCCTTTTATTCTGTTAACTACATTGTGTTCTAATAATAATCCACATTGTTGCACATTGATGTTTTGTGCTCACCGCTCTGTAACACAAATGTAATGATTTGGGTGAAATTTCCAAAGCATTGTTTCTATTTTTCCAGATCAAAAATTTGATTTGACATAAGTCCATGTATGAATAAATAAACATTTTATAACGTAGCAATTTCTCTTACATTAATAAAATATGTTTATTAGGAGGATGGGGTAGATATATATTGTAATAATAATACTGCAACAGGACAAGGAGTTCCTTCTGCTGACATCACTGTCTCTTCTTTATAGATCAACTAATCATCTTGGGATTAAAGTTCAATTACATGACCAGTCCATGAGTGCTTCAAGTAGTCTTATATTTCTACACTGAATTCATTGAAAACCAGATGGACTGGTCCATTGTAGGAACAACAGGGCAGCTGCTAGTATAGTATAGCAGGGCCCAAGCATTTTGTGCTGTGTGGCAGCATTGCTGCTCTCTGATGCCAACCAAATCATCCACTCAACCATCCATTCATTGTCTATGCTGGCATTTTCTTACAAGGTACCGTCGGATGCTGGTATCTATCTACAGCAGTAGCTTGGTTAGATAGGGACAGGTTACCAATCCAACTGAATATCCAACCTAATAATCATTTGATCAGTTTTTCTCTCCATTCCTAATGTGTCTCAGTTGTGTTTGAAGTGTATGAATATATTTCTGCTCAACATAACTTTAAATTAAACTACCAAAGTAAAAATCTATATATTTTTCCTAAATTCAGAACTGTAACCTTTTCTTTGTTAGGCCATCTTTTGGGAGATTAATCATAGTAAAATAGACATTTAAGAATTTCCTTCTGTGCTACGGTCGTAAATTTGTGGTATTGTATGTGTAAGTGCCTTTTGACACTGTATGTCTTATGCATATTTAGTTGTTTTTGCTGAAATGCTGTGCAAGTTTGTCCCTGCAGAATGACTGTCTTTCCTTAAGTCAGTGCTTGCATTTGTGCTGGATGATGCAAGAAACTGGAATTGGGCAATAATGCAAAATGAATGGATTTGAGGTGATGACACAAAGCTATTCCGCAAACACCAATAAACCACTAACGCCTGTATCTGCTGTAATTGCTCAAAACAGCTTTGTTTATTATATGTTCGCAGTCCGTTCACCTTTACACAGAATGCCAACTTCTTCCGTTACAAATATAAATGGAAAGACAAATAATCTTTAAACAGTAACACTATATCATAGTGAAGCAACAGGCAGTTAGGCTAATAGAGGGGGACTGAATTATGTATGGACTGTAGGAAAAAATCTTTTATTCCCTGTGGATTTGCAACACCACATCTCATTTAGGTTGGATGAATGAGAGATGATTTTAGAACCTCACTCCTCCACACCGTTCTGCCACTTGTCTTTCACTAATTGTTATATAAGTTACGCTGTGAAGAATATTACCGTAACGTCTGACAGTGCACACACTCCACAAAAGTGGAGGAACGCTTTGCTCATTGTCAAACTATAAATGTCACTGATGAGAATCACAATGAACAATTCTTGTCATCTAGTTTACTGGTGCAGTCTCTGTTTGCCATAACTTGTGTCAGGTCTCTTTGTTCCTCTCTGAAGTGAGTTCTTGAGCTGCTCTGTACTTTGCGTATCCTCATCTCATTTAATCTTTTTCTCTTTTGTGGTTCCAGGCCACAGAATGGGTCGATGATACTGTACAACAGGAAGAAGGTGAAGTATAGAAAGGATGGCTACTGCTGGAAGAAGAGGAAAGATGGGAAGACCACACGAGAGGATCACATGAAGCTGAAAGTGCAGGGAGTTGAGGTGAGTAAGGGGCGGGAGCAGAGTGTGAAAGTAAAAGGAGAAAATGGGGACAGAGCTGGGGTAGAGAGCCAGCCTTTATTCTGACATAGACAAACGAAGGTCTACACTGAGTTCTCCCCTGGCTGTAACTGAGACAGTCGCACAGTGCAGTAGACACATGTCTCCAAGGAACCGCACCAAGAAACAATGCGGCACAACAATAGTTTTCCCTGGGAAGCCAGTGGAGTGGAACCGATTGTTTGTACCTTATTAAAGCTGTGGTTGTTGCCTTTGCTCCAGAGAGCCTACATTAATCTTGCTGGCTCAAAGCAGCACTGTAAAGCAAGTGTTCCCTCACCTCAGACCAAGTCACTCCCCAAACCAGCTCCTGCCATGAAATGGCCATTTGTATCATTCCCAGCTCACCTGTAGGCCTTTATGTAATGTAAGACCATGGTCTGATATAAACCTGTTAATGAGACAAATCGAGAACCATTGTTGTCTTTTCAAGCATTCAGCAGAACAAATGTTTGGATTCAGGTTTGTGTGACAGATTTATTAACAAGCGGCGATACCAGAATAACAGGAGTTGAGGGACAGCCAATCCAGAGATAAGAGAGGGGTTTTGGGATTTTTCTTTTCATTCAGTACAAACACTTGCACCAAGTATACACCCATGGTCCACACATCTGGGAGTGATGTTGGGTGTCACGGAGTGTGACAAAGACAAAGCTTGGGCTTTCTAACTTCAGGGGCTCTGCTACATGGTTTGTCTCTGTCACTCTAAGAAAATGTTCTCTTTATTTGTGAAGCCAGTTCAGTGTTATCTGTGTTGTTTTGATACCTGCTTAGACTACAGACATCCATCCTGCTGGACTATGACAAATATTTTTAGCTAGTCACACTTCTAGTGTCAGCTCACATTTCCATTGTTAAATAGATGTGTGAACCCTGATGGTTGTGATAAAGCTTATCATGTAGGCTTAGATCCAGTAATTTCTGGTTAATTACAAAGTATTCTTTAGGCACTGATTGTTTTGTATCTCAAGTGGGCCTCATCTCAGATCATTCAGCTTAGTCTGCTGCTGAATGCTCTGAGCTGCCAGACTTTCCTCCCGGCCCTCCAGCTACTGGAACCATTGCTCATGAAGTTCTGAGGGGACCTCGGTTGTCAATCTTTTGTTAATATCTGCATGTTTTGGTTAGAAATAACAGTTTTCACTCATCCAGCAGGTCTTTTCACTATGCCATTCAGAGCAACCAAATGCTGTAAGAACCACAACATTAGACACTAGAGCCGGAGGCATGGATTCTAGCACTTCTTGCTAGCTTGTAATCCAATCTGTTTGAATGTTCTCCATATGGATATTTTCTATTGTCTAAGGTTTGCTCAGTTTGGTTATTGTTAACAGTGTAATGAGTTGCAGTGCCATACAGACACAAAGATTTACAATATAATATTGCTTTCTCTCTGCTGTTTCTACTTTATGTCTTTTATAATGAGAGTAAAGTTAATTTTTAAAAGCAGAAAAATAGTCAAACAGTCATTTAAGTAAGTGAGATAAATTGTGATTCGTAGACTGGCAACCAAGGCTTAGTGATGCACATTAGCAGAGAACGCTGCCAAGTGTGGTACTTACTCATGACTCCTGTTTTTATCATATTAAGAAAGTTCACGGGTGCAGCAAGATGTTTAGGGTATTATTCTCTGGGTCCTTCCCTCAATATTCCTCTTTACCATTTACCGTGCATCTAAGAACGGTTACAGACTATACACATTAACATAGTATTATCTGATTACTGTAGCCTTTATTTAGCTGAAAAAGACACCCTTTCCTACAAAGCAAAGAATAAGTAAATAAGGATGAGGAGTAGTTTGAGCAGTTCAACAGTTTCAGGTGTTGACTTCAATTCCAAATCCACCAGATCTCAGTTTAATGATGCTTCCTCAGGATTTATTTGAGAAGGAAGAAATTGATGAACATCTCACAGCTGCAGGTATTGAAGAATCTGCTGTTATCCTGGTGCAAGAGCCCACAACACACCTTCAATGATCTAGTAAACTAAATGCATTGAAAGGTTAGTACTAGGGTGACTAGGTGTCCTGATTTGTGCAGTAATCCCGCATTTCTCACTGCTGTCCCTCCATTCAACAAACCAAAGCCAAATCCCACATTTGGATAAAGAAAAAATCAAAAGTATTTAGAGGCACTTTTCCTAAATGCAAAGAAAGCAGAGCTGCAGGCCAGTGACCGGCATCATGACCAGGCTGGGCACAATGCTCCCAAAACTGAGTTGATTTTAATACAAAATATCTCAGAAATGATGGTTAAAGAAAATGAAACGCAGCCCCAACTAAGACCATGGAATCGTTTATAATTGGATGAGGCCAGTAGCAAGTAATTCTGAGAGCAATTTTTGTGAAATTTGCCAAAATTCTATCTGAATCTACACTTTTATTTATTTTTTTTTTTTAGGAACTTGTCAGCATCCTTAATATATAATAATGTGAATGTATGCTTCTTCCTTTAGTTGAAACCTAACTATAAAAACAGCAGTTTTGTTTTTCTCTATACATGTTTTTAATGTGTTACTGTAGGTTAAGCTCCCATGCTGTTTAATTGGTGGTAGTGTGTTCCAGGCAGTTATGGTTTATACTCTGTGAGCAGGTAGCAAAGATGGCTGATACAGTTTGTCAGCCCTAGCTATTCAGCCTAACAATTGTACCGTTAAGAACAGCTGACATAGCAGCAAAGATGTTCTCTTTAATTACTGTGGGGGATAATTTTGTCAGCCGATGTGCTCAAACAGGATCTGAATTTTATATCAAAGAGGAACACCAACCTTATAGTACTGTAATTACAACTGTGGCTGTATTCACCCAACATTCAGTCAAAATGTGCTACGCATTTTTCTGTCTGACAATTAAAGCAGAGTTTTACAGTATGTGAATAACAGCAGGCTTACTAAGAATATATATAGTTGGAAAAATAGGAATTATACATGTCACTGTTTTTCTCAGTTCAAATATTTCTAATGGTGCCTTTCTATTGGTTCTGGTCTTCAGTTCTCTACATACATTTGCAGATACAACTTGACACGACAATATTTTATCATTGAATAATTCGATTGCTTAAAATATGATATGCATTATTGTTCTTTTCATTTTACATGATTTGCAGGTTTTTAGTATTTTTAGTATTTATCCAGATGCATTGTTTTCAGGGATTTAGACGTATAACCTGCTAAAAATCTGTTTTTGATTGATGGTTTTATTTGATTCAAATTTGTTCCTCCCCCAAAAACACAACCAAAATAAAAATCTGCAGAAAACAAACAAAAAGAAAGGTTAATAGATATAGTCCAGGTACAGGACACACATATAGAACTGATTAAATAAAAACTCTGGTGGTTTTAAGCCCACAAGTAGACAACAAGAGCACAATGATGTAATCCTGATGTGATCCAAGTTCAACCACATAGTCGCTAGACTCTAAAAACGCTCCCGATGTAATAGGGTGGCTTGGAGAAGCCATGGCATGCAACATGAATCGATCCAATCTGGTATTATCATTCACTGTTTTAATGCTGAAAATGATGAAGAATGCACTTCAAGCACTTCTGTTAATTAATGTAAACATTTGACAAACTCCTTTAGATATCTAAATAGTGCACATTTAGCCATGCTGCAAAGCGAAGCAATATCAATGATCTCTATACATTGGGAAAAATAGTAATGACAATATAATAATAATTTTAATGATAATAGTAATAATAATAATAGGTTTTTCGCATATTCATAAGTTGTTTTTTTTATTCAGTAACCCAATAGCTTCCTATTTTATCTTATGAATATGTTTATAGTAAGTTAATTATGTAAGAACACTGTTTTATTTCTTCTTTTTTTTGTCAGTCAGTATTTTATACAGCTGGCACTAAAAATTAATAAATTATAGTGAGTTACTGTTTTTTTTCTAATTTAGCATATTATTGAAAATGACGGATCTTGAAATAAAAGCTAATATTCAAACAAAATTTGAGTAAAAAAAAAGTAAAATTTGTCAGATTGGACCCGATATGACAAAAAAAAGATTCATTTAGATTTTTATATATATATATATATATATATATATATTTTGCTCTAATAATTAACCTTTGTTGTCATATACTTTTTGAGTGTTCATGATAATTAAGTCTTTCTGCTATTTACAAGTGAATTTGTAGTGTTTTTGGCTGAATTTTAACATCTGCTGTAATCCTCTTATCTATACTGTTGTCCTATCAGTTGTAAAGTAGTCTGAGATAAACCTTCACCAGCTGTGGGAATTTTCTGTTCTGTTGTATTCGTTGTTTGTTACTGTAGAACGTGATATTTTGAGGAGAATATTGTCTTTAATCAAAGAGTTTAATTTGAGGCTTTATTTGAAAGTAAACCTTATACTTAAATTCTGAAATCGAGATTGATATTATTTCCAGTCCTTGCTCAGGTTAATTAAACATGCCCTTGCCTCAAATCAGCCAATATTTAGTTTATAGGTACAGAGCTTTGTTTTTTAGACTAAATGTTCAACAATAACTGCTGGCCATGGACCCAGCAGAGTAAAACAAACATAACAGACAATGTTCTGGTTATGTTTTCGTTATCAAATGACCTCTCCAACCTTCAAACGGCAGCTGCAAATTAAAAATCTTATTTTGAGATTTACCCAGTGGCATCCTCATCAGTTAGAAGATTAAAGGAAAAACAGGAGACTTGTTGATCCAGAGTGCACAGATAAATGGCGTGTTGTCTACTGTCATGGGAGCCTTCAGGCTTCTCATAGTGACTATGATTTTCAGTCAGATTTCAGTTTTCCTGCAGACCTGTGTTTTGTTTGGAGTAACTTCCTTGTGGTTTGTTGTGGTGCCGTCGCATTAAACATTTTTATACCTAGTTAGTAGATTAAGATGGTTTATCCTCCCTCATGTAGACAAACATCTTTTGTCAAAATAAAATCTGCATCAAGACAGAAGTTCTAAAG